AGTTAATAACCATACCACATTATCTCTTATTTATACTACAGAGTTAATAACCATACCACGTTATCTCTTATTTATACTACACAGTTAATAACCATACCACGTTGTTTCATAATTATACTACAGAGTTAATAACCATACCACGTTATCTCTTATTTATACTACACAGTTAATAACCATACCACATTATCTCTTATTTATACTACACAGTTAATAACTATACCACGTTATCTCTTATTTATACTACACAGTTAATAACTATACCACGTTATCTCTTATTTATACTACACAGTTAATAACCATACCACGTTGTTTCATAATTATACAGTGGATTTGTAAGAAATATTAGTAAACTTCATGTAAAAGTACTGGCTGTAAAAAGTATTTCGCTCCAATTATTTGAGACGAATGTGTAGGTGTGTCCACCTTAAATCAGTTTAAAAAAATAATAATCTTTAGCTTTTAAAGACTAAATTAAAGACTTTTAAAGACTAAAAATACTAAATAGAATTTAATATTTTTATATCTTTACCTCCTTTTATTGTGGTTGTGTTTTTAATTTGCACTGATTTATTGTGCCCTGTTTTAATTTGCTTTATCTTGTAAAGCACTTTTGGTCAATGCAAGGCATTGTTGGAAGGTGCATATAAAGTTTATTATCATTATTATTATTATTATATTTAAACACAGGTTTGCATTGGGCTGTAAATTTACTTGGATAAAATGAAAATATTGCAGTAAATGTACTTATTTTAGCACCTTTGACAACTCACTGTACTTACTGTATCAAGGCAAAAACTTGCCTGTGACATAAAATTTTTGAATATATTTTTGGAAAGATACTAACATATTGCTAATAAAAATAACTTTCACACCACTGAGATGAACAGAAGTTGAGATTTGCATGTGCAGCAACAGGAAGTGATGTCAAAGGGGAATGGCTGCAGGTTAACAGAGTGTTGCTACAATGGCTGACACAGACAGCAGAGAAGAATCTGTTTCTTCAGATTATTTTGAGACTATCAGATACCTGAAGTCAGAATTTAAAAAAAAAATGTTTCAATAAACAAATCAGGGCGGTCCTCCTTTGATGTCATTTCCTGTTTCACTTTGTTTCAGAAGAAAAATGCCAGTTCTGTGACAAAATTGGTAAAATCGTGTGGATTATGATAAATTTCTTAAATATTAGATATTTTCTTCCGCTCTTTGTATTTGTGGGAGTTGAAGGTCACGTGCGCTTTACGTCAATCAGTTAAACGCTTAGCATTGCATCAAAAGTTGTACACAGTCTCATGGGATGTTGTGAGACATGTTAGCCTTCAGAGTACGTGTTGAGGGTGACTCTCAGCTACCACCACATCGTACCTTAGGTCAGTATCTGTAAAACCGAGTTGTGAATCCAAAAGTTAAATCTGTTATAGATGTACAGCCACGGTCAAAAATGATGAGGTCACCATTATTGGAGGATGATCTTTCAATTGTTGTTATAAACATCAATAAACAGAAACAACAGATGTACCAAAAACTATCATTCTTCCAAATTCCAGCCTTCTGGTGTTAAATTATTCGGAAGAAAAAAATCAACTATGAATGATGTAGTTAGTCAAAGTTTTTTTTTATTTTTATAAAATGATGGCGTCATAAAACCAACACTAATCCATTAGAGATTTGTTGCAGCACTTCTGGGTTTTATAACAGTCTGACTTCTCTAATGCTTGGACATAACTAATCTAAACAAAAAAAAAACGGTAATCTTTATTACATTCTAATTTTTTTGGTCCATTATTTTGTTTAAACATTTGATTTGTTTCCTATGCACCATTGAGTTTCTGAGATTTGCAAATCATTGCATTATGTTTTTACACGATGTTCCAGCTTCTTTGTGGTTGTAACTTCTGAACAAATTAAAACTGAAAAAGGCAATTTTATCTATTTAATGTGACACTTGCACAGAAACAATCCCTGTTGTTCAAGAAACACTAGTTTATTGTTTTTTTTTCCCCTCCAGATTCAGTTCTAGTTCAAAGCACAGAAAAAGTCTATTGAACAACTTGATTAGTTGTTTTGTGTCTCTTTCAGTCTTTTTCCTAGACACACAAAGCTCATTATTTCACAATTTACTCACAGAGAGATAAAAAAAAAATCTACTTTAAGTTTGCAACTCAAAACAACTGTGTAACTTTAAAGTTTTCACTTACTGCATAAGATTGTTTCTCAGATAAAACTATGTTAACAATCATTGCCATTTTTAAATATTATTCCAGATGGTATTTATAGAAGTCCACAGCAGGATAGACAGATGACTCGGAGTACTCTTCAAACAGATTTCTGCAGACAACCATCTTTTTTATCTGAATTTTATTTAAAATGTCTTGTAAGTAAAGTTCTTTGTCATTCTGTTGTTGGCTCAGATGATGACTTGCTGGGCATGCAGCACAATTCTGTATCCAAACAGCATATGCTAACATTTGAGTCTTGACTCTTTCTTTTGTACTTCTTTAATTTCATTTTTAAGTGTGATTATTACCCCAAAATCATAGACACCACATTGACAACATGGTCGTCAGTTCCTGATGCTAAATGATCTTGGTAATGGACTTAGAGGTACTGGTTCAGGCTTTAACAATATTTTCTCTCTTAATAAATGTATTTGGACAGTATAGTTGCCCTTCACACTGTGTAATCCATCCAGATAACAAGAAACTAAAGAGAAACTAACATGCAGATGAAAAACACTCTCATTTGGTAACATATTTTTTTACATAATCCTGTAAAAGCCTTTTCTATTTGCATGAAACATATTGAAATAATTAGTCTTAATAAAGCAGACTATTCATTTGTAGCTAATCGTAACATTGGAATCAATGTTAAACACAAATTAGGGTAATACATCTTCACTGTGAAATAAGCTCAGTCTCATGGTACTTATCCTGGTAAAGATGCCTGTTAAATACACTACATGGCTTTTCCTTATTATTGTACCAATAATCTACTTAAACTAAGTGCATTTCCTGCCAAAATGTGGTGTGAATGCTTATTGCTGAAGAACAGCTGAAATTAGCTAAAAACATGCTGAAATGTAGCTGAAATAGAAGAACGAGCCTAAGTTAGCAGAAGAAAGCAGAAATAACATTTTTTTGGGGCTGAATTTGGGTTAAATAAGCAGAAATGAGTACCAAAATTAGTAAATTAGCTAAAAAGGCAGAAAAAAAAAATAGCTGAAAAGGTAGAAAGAAACTTAAATTACAAAAGAGCGCACAGTGGTGCCCAATGGGGCTGAAAGAAGCAGAAATTAGCACAAACAAACAAACAAACTAAAAACAACAACAGCCTATTAGCTATAAATTAGCTAAAAAGCGCGGGGGGTGGGGGGGGGGGCTTAAATTACCAGAAGGAAGTCAAGAGAGCACATTTTTGCTGAATTATGCTGAAAAAGTTTAAATGAGGACAAAAAATTTAGAATTAATTGAAAAACCTCAAATTTACATAAAAACAGCTACATAGGAACTGAAATAACAGATAAAGCTGCAACTTGCATAATAAGCTGAAAGGAGCATAACAAGCTGAAATTGGCAGAAAGAAGTTAGAAGACGTACAAAAATGTTGTAGTTTGCAGAATAAAGCTGAAAGGACTACAAAACAGCTGAAAGTAGCTGAATAATAAAAAAAAAAACTTGCACAAGGAAGCTGAAAGAAGCTGAAGCAGAACAAAATGTGACCGGAGCAGTAAAAGGTTGTAAACACATCTAAAGAGCTGAAGGATGAAAAATGAGCTTATTTCATTTTCTATGAGGAAAAAAATGGCAGAAAAGGCTAAATATTTCAAAAAGCTAAAGTTGCACCAAGACCAAAAGTCATAACACTCTTCTCCTGGAAGAGCTGAACATTTTGATATATGATTTGTTAAATAAGAACAAAAACTGTGGAATGAGAAAGATGCAGAAAAAGCTAGTGAAGAGAACCGGATCTCTTGCTTCATAAGCCATCGCACAAGAACAAAACCAGCTCCTTCCTCTCATAAAAGCATATAAAGCAGATAAGAGTCCTCTTAGCTGTATGGTTCATATATGCTGCTTCAGCCTGAGTGTAATCTGCGAGCACAAAGTCTCTGAGACAAACTGTTCTTTTGTAGTTTACAAGCTTTTGTTTTTTGATAAATAACGTAGTTACGAAATTTTAGCTCCTTTAATTATTGCACACGTCAGAGTGTTTACTTGAAACTATCTGTGACCTTCACGGGTTGGAAAAAGTTTGCAACAAGCCAGCCGAGAACAAACGGCTGTGTTGTGAGGCCCGCCGCACCACCTAAAACACACACCCTCACATCTTTGCTGCTCATAAATGCCGATAAGCAGCTCCTTTCTTCAAAGCACTTATAATTAGGAGGCTGGAGCCTTTGAGTATAATTCATAGTCGGCTTCAAAACCTTGTTAGGCAAACATGGTGGGGAACTTTGTAATTTGCACGTGGCAATATATTATGCACTCCCAATTATTGTGGTGCTACTGCCATTTGGTGGGGTCGACTGTTCAGCACATGATCCAAAGACCTCCAGCACGCAGCGCCATGGGAACGTCTCCCAACATAATTAATGGGTTATTGTCACTTTGGCATCATAAACTACTGGATGAAAACAAGAATGATTGCAAGGGCAAATGCTTTGATCCAACTTGAACCCCTCCCCCCCACGACTCTTGCAGAAACACTGTACTTTGAACATAATTACTTTATTTACTTTATTTAGGAAGTCACAAGACAATTTAATAAACGTGGAGTCATACTGAGAAGTTTTTGACACAAAATGACACGAGCTCTGCCTGCAGTCTCATCCGTCAAAGTCTTACACCTGCTCACAAGGTAAAGGTACGTTCCTTGAGTTCAAACTTGCACAACAAATATAGATAACATGATTCCGTGATAATGATATCGGCACTCACAGTATTTACGTCCAATATTAAACTGTACATTTTACATTACGAGGACTTGCGCTTTAGACTATGTCACAACCTGTAAAAAAAATTGTGCAAAGCTTGTTGCCCTAAAAAAAAACAGCAAAAAAACAACAAAACTACAACAGATACATCAGACCATATGTAAACATTCGTCCATTTTCTTGGGAACATTCAATTTTAGGGTTGAAGAAAAGCAACTATCAGTTTTTGTTCTTAATATTTGAGGGAATTTAAACGAGCACAGTATTTGGAAGGGAATGTAAACGTTGAGAAGTGCGCTCGCTGACTTAAAACAATGATTTAAAGAGGATTTTAAATCAGTTTTGGAAGCTTTTTATTTTTATTTCTACTCCTTCTAAGTCAGGGCTGTTCAACTAAACTGCTCAGGAGGCCACAGTTTCTGAAAACCAGCAGCTCAGGGGCCGGACATCCAGCAATTAAAATCTTTTATTTTTATTTTCATGAACGGTTCTTACTGTTTTTGTTTTATTTTAAGCCTGTATTCTGTATTTCTGTAAAGCACTTTGTGATTTTATCTATGAAAGGTGCTACATAAATAAAGTTTACTTACTTATTTAAATAAACCAAATATTACAATGACCCGTTTTTAAATTTGTTTGTTTGATTGCATTGACTCATAGTGTAAATGCAATAACCCAAACCCAGAACCGCCCCAAAATAAAAAAAAAAAAAAAAAAATGAACTCATTGGTGGGCCGGACTGAAGTTGCCCGCGGGCCACTTCTGGCCCACGGACCGCCAGTTGAATAGCCCTGTTCTAAGTCATCAGGAGAGCTCGTTGCCTCACATGTTTTTGAGCAGCCCTCAGATAACACATTGTATAATTAAAAAATATGAGTATTCATAGTAATTTTGATAACTATCAAATAAGTGTTTTAATCTTAAAAGATTAAAAATATCTTTAAGGCATACAAAAGTAATGTTGCCATGCGATAAACATCTTGGTTTCTTTTTCACTTTCTTGTATTTGCTTCAGATGATCTTGATGATTAATTGGCATTTCAGTTGTTTCCAGTCTTCAGGTTATTTAATGCATGAAGTATTTCTCCTGCGAGCTGTTTCGCAGAAATTGCAGAGTATTTTAACGATTGCATGTGTTTGTTGTGAAAATATTTACCTTTTTTTTTTACCCACACCTCGTTTTATTATAAGTGTTGAAGGCATCAGCTACAGTAAAGCAAAAATAAAATAAAAAATACATTCTAACACATAAAATGAGAGAACTGTCTACAGGCCCAGGTTTTAATACAGATTTTTGTTGACTGAGCTTTATACCACCACTGTATATAGCCCTCAACGTGCATTTTTCAGAGTATTAAATATTTTTAACACAGCTAAATTCAGATAAATTGACTACATTAAAATAAAGATATTCTGACATGCAGCTTTACCAAACAAGACCCTGAGATCAGGTAACAATACTGCACCCAGATTAGTTGATTTCATCAATTTAATGTCTTTTTTTACATCACCTAAACTCTGTCATATATGAATAAAATTTTCCTTATAAAGAACTGACCTTTTTGTGGTTAATTTTATAATTTAGTCTACTTCTTTCCCTCCACCACCGCACTATGAAAACTACTTTTCTCAGTGCTGCAATGAGACGTTCAGGGACTTATTTTTAAATCAGAACTTCATGTACTCGTTCTTCAGCCGACTCAGCCTCGTGCCGTGGCTGCGGATGATGAGAGACAGCAGCTCGTGCTTGTCCCTCAGACCCAGAGAAATGTCCACGGTCTCCTTCAGGACGTCCCGCGTGTGGACCACCATGTTCAGAAAGTCATCATTGAGCCGGTGCTCCTCCCTCAGCTCGCTCTCCTGGCTCTGCTTGAACTTCACCTCCAGCTCCAGCAGGGACTTTTCCGAGCTCGTGAACGCCTCGCCGATCTGGGTCGTCTCCCTGCGCAGGTACTTCCCGTAGCTGTCCTCTCCGTCCAGGTCGTACGAGATGCTCTTCCCGATGCCCTCCAGCACCCGCGCCGAGTCCTCGATCTGCCGCTTGATGATGGTGAAGTCGTCCCGAATGACGGAGTCCTGGTCCTCGTCCAGACTGCACTTTCGCTCGTCCGTCATTTTGAACAGCATCTGACATTTCTCCGGGTCGTCGTTGTCCTCGTAGTCGCCGTCCGGCACGAAGTAATGGTGGAAAGTTCCGTTGGACATCTCTGGATGTAAAGGTCCCAGGAAAAAGCGTCCAGACACGGACAGGGACAACATCCCGGCGCCGAGGAGCAAGTGAAGCAAAGCCATGGCTCCTAGTTGTTCCACTTATACACTCGCAGAAATAAAAAGTTTTAAATGTCCGACAAACCAGAGTGCTAGTTTACCGTTTCATTTCGGTGCACGTAAACGTCTCAAACTGAAGCGTCAACGTCGTTTCAAGCTCGGCTGAAGTTTTAAAAGTTAAAGTCCTCTCCTTTCGTCTCCTCTTCCCCAAACAACAGGTTATTTTACAGCCTCTCCGTCGATCCTTTAATTCCTTCTGCCAACTTGTATCAGTGTGTAAAAGTTTTGTCTCAGAGCGTGGGAAGAGTTGTCTGTGCTCCCTGACTTCTCCCGGTGCCTCAAACGCAACATCTGGACGTCTGAAGTACGGCGTTTGGGTTTTTGGGACTAATAATCCCCCCGTGCTCTCAGATTACAGCCCCTCCGTCATTTGAACAGTCTGCGTCCACGCCAGCACCGGGACCAGTCTAAACCTCACCGAAACAAAGACAGACCGAGTTTATGTTCATTCTCACAGCCGTGACATGTTGGCACATATTGAGAATCACAAAGTGACCACATCATTTGAATGCACCACGGCAGGCCAGCCCATAATTACAGAGCACACTTTGAAAGGATCTACTCTTTAATAGCTGATGACATCTCTCATTTAGCAGCACAGCAACCTTTTATAAAGTTTTGTTGACAAGAAGCAACTTTTAATATAGTGTTTTAATAACATTGCCTAATAACATTTTATAAATTTAACAAACGATAACTTCCATGGGATTAATCTGTTGGATTACATCATAATGAGGTGTTGCTATCACTCAGTATTATTTTGAAATTCATGCTGAAGTTTGACATATTTCTATCTTTTAAGAGCTGCACTTTTAAAAGCCAGATTTCTGTTTTGTGCATCTATATTTACACTGTTTATAATTGTACTATTACACTTATTGTTACTTCCACTGGATAATGTAATAGTAATTTGGTTTAATGCCATGACATCAAGATACTGTATAATAAACGCACATAAATTACTTAAACAATAAATTTGAAAAGGGAAGTAAAACATTTACATATCACATTTTAAAATGAATACTTGATGAATTCAACAACTTTCTGTGATGGAACCTTGTTAAAAACATTTTTCATGCTGTTTTGATTGTAAAAAGTTGTTGTTCTCAAAGAAAAAATGAAAAGTAGAATACTACAGTACTACCATCAGACTCATTCTTTACCTTTTAATAAATCATTAATGTTAGTACATAGATATACATGTCCCAATATGTTGTGTTTCTGCTCAGGCTACATACGTACCGTATTTTCACCAAATAAGTCGCACTGTTTTGCATAAATGTGCAAGTCCTGCGACTTAAACACCGAAGTGACTAGTCTCTCTTGTAAATGAGTCCTCGAGACTCAACGGGATTAACCTGTCTAAATAAAGGTTGAATGAATACCCCCCCCCCCCCCCCCATATTTATAACCAATTTTTGGCTGAGATCTGACGACTTCCTTCATTCTGACATGGAAAATATTGACCAGTACCATTTTCAGCCACTAGAGGGCCCTTAATATGTATGGCAAGCCAATTTCTCATTAATATGTAAAAGTGGCTATTAATTAGACACTTGGCTTGCCAAACGAAGCCACCATCGTCTCGCTGTGGACCTCCTGGAACAAATGTCAAATCAGCTGAATTTTGACGCGCTGCCCAGGAGAAATGCAGCTGATTTGACCATTAAAGTGCATTTATTAAGAAAAAGTTCAACTGAGACACACCTTTGCTATAATTTTGAGCAAACAAACAATTGTTTTTAGGTGTTAATCTTCTTAAATTCTTGTTAAAGTCCTCCCGTGCACGCTCTCGCGGCCGCCATTTGGCAGCCAATCGATTTTTGGCACAACACCGGTCCACGTTTCCATGTGGTCAGCGGTGACACATAATAGATGCGACTCATACAGGGAAGCAACTGATTTATGTTTTTTTTCCACTTTATTAGACATATTTGGAATTATGCTATTTATACGGTGGTGCAATGTGTATGGTGGAAAGTACAGTAAGTTCAGTGTTATTGCTGTAGTATTTTTACACAGTATGTATGTAAATGCATTCAACTTTACTTGAAAGTTAGGTGTGATATAGTCAAAGTGGAAATTAAATAATCTGTGCAAAATTATGCTTGTGAAAATATAAAGGCAATATTTTGGGTAAAACACATCCCAATCCTAGTAAAAGAAGACAGGACAAATTAATGTGTATATATATACATAAAAGGTAAACGGGAATAGTTTTATTTTTCTTGATGCCATTCAGTACAACTTCTAAAGTGATAAATTACAAACCAAAGAGTGGTTCAAATGTATACAACTTACCAGTGGGTGATCCAAGAACAAAGCATTTTGCACAATATGTTGCATTTGTTTCAACATATGTTGTTTGGTTTTCAATCCTAATCAAGTACAAGTAAATGGTGCCAAAATGAAACTTTATGATTCAATTTGAACTCAGAATGGACAGGTTTGAAGTTCCCATTCAGAAATGTCTACTGGAACACTCCATAAAGTTGCATTCTTAGTAACAACAAACTTAATTTCACTGACTTTTGACTTCAGTATTCAACATGACAGTCTAAAATATGAAGATAGCTGTAACGATCCGTTTATTATTTCCTCTTCTGAATCACATAACTAGTAGCTTTTTTAATTTACATTTTGTTACATTGATATATGTTTCAGGGATGGACTGGAGACCTGTCCAGGCAGGATGTGCCCCCTCCTCTCACACAGTAATCTCTGGAGACAGCACCACCTCACATGACCCTGCATTGAAAAAATAAATAATGGAGATTAATATTGAGACCTAAAAAACTCACTGATTTGAAAAATCTAATTCTGGTCATCTTGGGTTTGACTAAAGTCCTGTTAACATAAAATGTAGTGACACTAAGTTACACTGTATTCTTTTGATTTTTGTCAATTACCACAATAAACAACTCACAGTGTCTTATGTCACAAGTGGGGGGGTGGGGGGTGCAGAGGCTAGAGTTGTGCCTGTGATCAGAAGGCCGCCAACTCAACTCCCTGGACCATCAACATCAAAATGTGGGTTGAAAATGTGAAGCACCCACCCCTGCCTCCTTCCCCCTGACCCCACTCTGGACCCCAGAGTTAGGCCCCTAACCTCCACCATCTGCATCTGCTCCCCCGGGTGCCCCATGGCAGCCCCCCGCTCCACACAGAGGGCTGTAGCTCGGTGGTCTGTGGTTGTGTCAGAAAGGGCATCTGGCATAAAAGCAACTGACAAGTCTTCGTGCGACTTAGGTCGTTTTCACACCAGACAGTCTGGTAGACTCGGTTCGGGACCAATATTCATGAGCTTTTGTTTACATTTGAGCTGGTGCGTTTGCATTCACACTGCACTGTGGAGTCGAGTCAACCTGTTGAACCAACCTGTTCCCCCCCTTGCCTGTGGGGGCGCTGCACCAAGAACTACTGAAAGAAACGACACAAAAACCTCTGAAGAAGACACTTTTTCTTCTTCTTCTGTAAATAAAAATAAAAACGAAGTGGCATCAAGTTTTAGCAGTTTTAGGAGTTATATTTTGTCATTTTTCAAAAATGGACTTAGCATGAGCAGAAGATGAGACAGAAGACCATGGAGAATATTGTTTTTCCACAAAAGGCAGCTGACGGCTCCATATAAGGTCAGAGAAATGCGTGTTTGTTTGTCCTGCGGAGCGGGCGGGGCCTGGTCTGTTTACATTCACACTGTACTCGAACCGCGCTGGAGTTCGCTTCTACCGGACCGAGACCTAGGTTTTAGCCCGGGCCAGAGTTCGTCTTTTTGTTCCGTGACAGAGTTCGATGCCGTGTTCACACCTCCCTAAACGAACCGGACTTTCTAGAAAAACGAGCTAGAGTTCGATTAAAGTGGACTAAACAGGGCTGATGTGAATGCACCCTTAGTTCACTGTGGTGACCCCTGAAGAAGAGTCACACATCAGTACACGTCACACATCAGTACACGTCACACATCAGT